CATTTGACCCCAAAGGGGTCTTGACCCACAGGTTGAAAACCACTGAACTGGGGTTTGGGCTGGAGAGATAGCTCATGGTTAAGAGCACTGACTACTCTTCCAGGGCATCTGATCTCAATTCCCAGGCAGCACCCTAGTTCCAGGGAGATCTGGCACCCTCTTCTGACCTCCCAGGTACCATGTGCACATGGTGCACAGATGGACACCCTGAACACGCAGTCTCTACAGTGGCGAATAAAGAGTATGGACCCTCTGGTCTGAGAGCAGACATGTAACACAAGCCTAGCTATTCAGAGTATTTCATATTTAGCCACAATGGTCAACTCAAAGAAAGCATATGATCCTAAATACTCCAATAGCAGTCTGAGGTTTTTAAAAAATAAATCAGTATTTATTTATTTATTCCTATATGCATTGGTGTTTTGCCTGTATGTATGTATATGTCTGCAGGAGGGTGTCGGATCCCCTGAAACTGGAGTTACAGACAGTTGTGAGCTGCCATGTGGATGCTGGAAATTGAACCCAGATCCTCCAGAAGAGCAGCCAGTGCTCTTAACCACTGAGCCATCTCTCCAGCCCCAATCCTGAGATTTTGTTTTTTACTGGAAATGAGAGAACTAATCACTTTCCTAAAAATGGAAAACATGACTCCATCTTTCTCTAAAGGGAGGGAATCCTCCTGAAAGTAGAGGCAATCTACAAAAATGTACCAATAATAAGAGGATTCCTGATGGAGTTTGAACCTCTGCATACAGCCACAAAGTCAACATGTTTTGCATTGTTGCCAGTGTGGCTTCTGCCCTACTCAGTTCCACAGTCTAAGGGAACAGATTTTTTTAAAAAGCCTCCAGGGGGCTGGACAGATGGCTCAGAGGTTAAGAGTCTTGCTGTTCTTCCAATGGTCCTGAGTTCAGAGTTTAATTCCCAGCAACCACATTACAGATCACAACCATCTGTAATGGGATCTGATGCCCTCTTCCAGCCTGCAGGCATACAGGCAGAACACTATATATAATTAATAAATAAAACTTAAAAAAATAAGCCTCCAATCTTACTCAAAATCAACCTCTCTTTTTTTTTTCCATCATCAAGTATGAATTTCATACTAAAAAGTGAGGGTTCACACACAACAGCAAGGTTTTGTTGGTTTGATTTGGTTTTTGTTGGGGTGGGTGTTAGGTTTTGGGAGGAGTCTGTGTGTGTGTGTGTGTGTGTGTGTGTGTGTGTGTGTGTGTGTTCTTAAGACAATGTCTCATGCAGCTCAGGCTGGCTTTGAACTCACTATGTAGGGAAGATAACCTTGAACTCCTGATTCTCTTGCCTCTATCTCCCAAATTCTGGGGATATAGGCATATGCCACCACAACCCAGCTCAATGTATTTAGTTCCCTAAATCAAAGAGCAGGGAAGAAACAGGTTATGACATTAGTACAGTGACCCTTCACATAATTTTCTATGGAACTAGATGAGAAGGACAGAAGAGTCTTCTCAGTCATCTGGGAATATAGTTCAAAAACCCAGAGGGAGCCAGGCCTGGGGACATTCACTGGGAACACAGTGGCAGTCAGATCTTTATGAGTTCCAGGTCAGCCTGATCTATACAGTGAGCTCCAAAACACCAGTGCTACATAGAGAGATCCTGTCTCAATCATATCATCATCATCATCATCATCATCATCCACAAAGCCCAGAGGAACAGTGGAGGGTGTGAAAAGAACAAGGTTGGTGGCACAATTCCTAGGCACACCTGGGAGGCTGCAAGCTTCCAAGAGTGGGCTTCACCTGGCAGAGCTTGCAGTGGTTTTGAGATTCTTTGAGACTCTTCCCTTCAAAGTTGTAGCTAAATGTGCCTCCCCTTGTATTTGGTAACTTGAGTCTAACCCTCAGATTTGATGAAAGTGACTATCTGCTACTTCTGAGACTAGGTCAGTGGTTGCAGGCAGGAGGCTTCCTCCCTGTTCTCCCCCCTCTGAGTCCTGAGAGGACAGACAGCACACCTAAGGGCACTAAAATACACATAAAATAAAAATGTTAAAGAGGCGGAGGTGATGGTGGTGATGGTGGTAGTGATAGTGGTAGTAGTGGTGATGGGTACTGAAAACTGCCCTGGGCTAGTAAGTTCAAGGTTAGTCCGGCCAACTTAATGAGGCTATGTCTCAAAACAAAACAAAAGGCAAAAAGATGCTGGGGATAGAACTCAAGTTGAACACTTCCCAGGATGCTCAATGCAGAGGCCAAGTCACTGTACCCCTAAACCTGACTTGACCAGCTGTGCCTCCATTGACCTCATCACGAAATATCTAAAAACAATGAAACATGATCCCTCTGAGAAGGCACTGGTGACTAAAGCCTAATCAAATGACCTGCCACATCCGTGTGGCTGTGAGAGGCAAAAAGAGGAACAATGCACTCTATAAGACTAAGAACTTACCCCCCCCCCCAAAAAAAAGAAAGGAAATTCTACATTAGTAATTACAGCTCCCTTTGCCTGGTCATGAGAGATGTTCATGTCCCATACTACACAAACCCCCTCCCCAAAAAAAGAAAGGAAATTCTACATTAGTGATTACAGCTCCCTTTGCCTGGTCATGAGAGATGTTCATGTCCCATACTACACAAACCCCCTCCCCAAAAAAAAAGGAAAGGAAATGAAATTCTACATTAGTGATTACAACTCCCTTTGCCTGGTCATGAGAGATGTTCATGTCCCATACTACACAAAAGGAAAAAGTGAACTGAGTACGGGCATTCGTCACTTTCTGCTTCCATCAGACACCTCCATCTCCAGCCACTGTGCCTTCCATGCCTTGATGGATTGTACCCTCAAATTGTGAGTCAAAAGAACCACTTCCTCTCTTTAGTTGCTTGTGTCACAGCAATGAGAAAGGTAGTTTATCTATACACACCAATCAAGATCAGATATGGCCTGGAGGGTGGTAAAGAATCAAAAACCAGGTTGAATGTAGATAACCAGATTATCAAAACAGGGGTGATTGCTAAATGGATTTAGCAGGAAGATGTGATAAGATGGGATTTCATAAGGAAACACACAGATGAACCTAAAAGAAGACTCAAAAGCCTGACTCAAGTTTGGTCAAGCAATGCATCTTTAGCAAAGGCTCGGGCCCAGTGATACTTTTTGTCTCTAGAGATTCCATTTAGTTTTCTAGATAAGTCAGCAATGGTTAAAGTAGCAGAAGTGTTTATTTATGTTTTATCTGACTTATTGAGTCCCTCTGTACTCGTAGGCTTTCTCAGAACATTGCACACAATTGTCTGAATCACCTGTGAGTCAATGATCTCTTAGCTTTCAATGTGTAGGTGGAGAAGAAAACTCAAAATCAGGACACCTATTAGGAAAGTGTACAGGAATTTAGACAGAATAACTGGAATGGGAATGGGGGCTGTAGTTAGCAGATAGAAATAGACCTGAGAGATATTTAGCACCTAACATCAAGTGCATTTCAGGCAACCAGAGGTCTGGAGGGGCTGGAGAGCTGGTTCAGTGGTAAAGAACACTTGATGCTCTTCCAGAGGACCTGGGTTAGGATGTCAGCATCCCCACAGCAGCTTAAAACCATCTGAACTCAGGTCTGGGGAATCTCATAATTCCTTCTGGCCTCCAAGGACACCAGGCACCCACATGGTACAGAGACATACATGCAGGCAAAACTAACAAACACATTGTTTTCTTTTTTAGATGTATGATCTAGATAGAGAGGTTTTTTTTATGGAAGTCGGGAACTCAAAGAAGAGATCTGAATTGCATACATATGGGGGCTTTATGAAGAATTACCCCCACAACACAGATGGTAATGGACAGGAGCTGTATGCTGTGAGCAGCCATGATTATGTGGATGGAAACAGGGACCTGAGATAGCCCCGGGTGTAGATGGCTGCCCAGGCATCAGGAGGTCCTAAATTTTGACCACCAACCAATTTGTGGAAAGCCTGATATATAAAGCCAGTTGTAACAGGTGCTATTAATCTCGGCCAACACAGCAGGAGCCTGGGGATCGCTGACCAGCCAGTCTAGCCAATTGTGAGCTCCAAGTTCAGTAAGACCTTATCTCAAAAATTAAGGTAGAGGGCGATCAAGGATGACTGTTTCCTCACAAGCTCTTCTCTATGCACAAATGCAAAGACAGAAGGGGGCAGGGGCAAGTGGGCAACGGAAAAGAGGGTCCTAAGATCCAACTAGAAACAATTATCTACAGTTTAAGAATTTAAAAGAATGGAGCCATCAACGGATGACAAAATGGATTCTGAAAGTTCCAGAAGACAGTATGGCTTCCACTGAGAACCAAAATGCAACATTTCCAAAGGAAGAGAGGGCGCACAGGCAGTGATTCTGGCTGGGAGACCAATCAAAACAATCTAAAACTGGGTATTAGATTTGGTGAAACACAGACAATATGTACTGCAGAGAGCCAGGAAATGGAGTGAACCGGGGAGCGGGGGTGGGGGCTGGGGGGGTGGGGGGTGTTGATCCTTTGGGAAACTTGTGATTGATGGGTGTGTGCAGATGGCAACTAGTGGGCAACAGAGTAACACGGGCATGGCTGTCATACGAGAAAACATCAGGAGTCCGTCCAAATAAGGCTGTTGCAGGAGGTTCGCGTTTCCTCCGCGAAGGCCCGTTTGACTGGGTCATGAACATTTTTTTCATATGAAACTTTTGCTAAGAAACTTTTGTGATAGGAGGGAGAGGAAAAGGAAGGCGAGCAAGCAGACTCCCACGGTGCCGCCGCCCCACAACCGAACAAGCCCCCAGCACTCGCAGTCCGGGTGTGCGTCGGTTTCTTCAGGAGCGGGTCCTCTCTGCACGGCGTCCTCCCCTCTCTTTGGCGTCATCAACCTCTTTCGCTATTGCTGCAACTCCTTCCGGGTCAAGGGTGGGGGGTGGGGAGGGTACGCCTAGTCCTGAAATTCGCGGGAGCTGAGGCGCGCAGTCGCGTCCGGTATTTAAATCTCGCGCAGGCGTGTTGGTGCCCTATCACTATGCGGGTGCTCGTGGGTGAGGGAGGGCTGGGAGTCGGGGGCGGGCTTGGGCTGAGGCCGAGAGCCGAGCCGGGAGAGCAGCCCCAGCGGGCGCGGTCTTCTCAGCAAGCAAGCGAGCTAAAAGCTGACTGTCTGAAAGCCTGTGACCTGTGTCACCTCTGCATCGCGGGCTGGGGTGGAGGACAGGCCTGGTGTCGGGGGACCCGCCCGCCTCCACCCGGAGTATAAACAGTTTGTGCTCTCCCATCAGGTGGCGGGACGGGATTCATTGGGACAGCTCTAACCCAGCTGCTGAAAGCCAGGGACCACAAAGTTACGTTGGTCTCCCGACAGCCTGGGCCGGGTCGAATCACGTGGGTACGTCCCAGCGTCTGCAAGGTGGGAGGGAGGGCAGTTTGGGCGGGAAGGACAGTACTTTCTGTGCTTCCTCCAATAGGATGAGCTCAGTAGATCGGGGCTCCCCCTCTGCGATGTTGTCATCAACCTGGCTGGAGAGAACATCCTCAACCCTCTGCGAAGGTCAGCTGGGCCATAAAGCAGCATCACCTGCACAGAGGGAGAGGGTCGACTCCTGTGAGCTATGCATGGCAGAGACTGTGCAAGTGTATAAGAAAGCCTACTGTTGTGGCTGAAGAGACACAGTCCATGCCTCTCATGGAGGGGATAAAGTCCTATCTTTCTTAGCACCCGGAGTTATGTATTCAGGCAGACTTAGGACAACGGGCTTACTGGGAGAACAGGAGGCGTAAAGGGGTAGGGCAGGATGAGTAGTGAGGATATAGGTTAGATGTGTATTTGTACTTCTGACCTTTTCATCTTCTCTGCAGATGGAACGAAGCCTTCCAAAAGGAGGTGCTTACCAGCCGCCTGGATACCACCCACCTGCTAGCTGAAGCCATCACCAACGCTGCACACCCACCGCAGGCTTGGATACTAGTCACAGGTGTAGGTATGACCCAAATCATCAACCTCTTTCTTACATTAAAGAACAGAGCGCAGCTCAGGCCCTTGGGGCTAGTAACTCCCCACTGCAGCACCTAGACCACCGTTCTTTTCAGTGTAGCTTCTAGACCCTCTAGCCACACAGGTTTCTCCTAACCTGTTTTCACTGTGGCATTTATGGGCGTGAACGGCATGGGAGTGTACTTGGCTAGAGACTCAAAGCTAGGGGCCCTTATTGGAAGCCGTGGAGAAGGAAAGGGCCAGAACCGGTGTGAGGACGTCTACCTACTCCCAAGCCCCTTGCTTTTTGGACCACAGTTCTTTATGAACAGCCCCCTATAGCTGTGTCACCCTTGAGACCAAATAACCACAAACAAAATAATAGTAGCCACTATCCTAAGTATGTTATACATTATATTATTTAATCCTTGCAACAACCTTATGAGGTAGGTACAGTTACTCCCATATTGAAGATGCAAATTGTTCATACAGAGAAGTAACTTGCCAGAAAGTCATAGATGTCAGGGATGGTAGAGCTCTAGCAGCCTGGCCCCTGGTTTCTATCCCTAACCTCTATAAGCTAGCAGTCTCTGTACAGCCTGACAGCCAAAGGCTAGACTTCCAGGCAGGAACACATGGAGAAGCTCAAGGGGAAAACAGTCATGGACCTTTCTTCTGTGGAGACCCAACGGGTCACAGAGAATAAGGCTGGGAAGCCTTTGGAGGCAAAGGGCCCAGCAGGACAGGGCCAGCCAAGCAAATGAGTGCTCTCCAATGGCAGCTTATTACCAGCCAAGCCCAACTGAGGAGTATGACGAAGACAGCCCAGGAGGGGACTTTGACTTTTTCTCCAACCTGGTAACCAAATGGGAAGCAGCAGCCAGGCTTCCTGGAGAGTCTACACGCCAGGTCGTGGTACGTTCAGGTGAGGATCAAGGGCCTGGAAACCAGGCAAAGTGGAAGATTTCTGGGCTGAGGAGGGCTGAGCTTACAGGGAGAGGACACCATTAGTCTAGCTAACCTACAGAGGGAAAGTCCCAAGATCCACAACTCTCAACTCTGTCCACTCCAAATGCACAGGGGAAGAAAGTGAGGATGGGAAAAGAGAAATTAAAGTAGTACAGATTTCCAAGGCTAAGCAACCTTACCCATCTACCCCTCTTGCCTACTTTAGGGGTTGTGCTGGGCCGTGGGGGTGGTGCCATCAGCCGCATGCTTCTGCCCTTCCGCCTGGGCCTAGGAGGCCCCATTGGTTCAGGTCACCAATTCTTCCCCTGGATACACATTGGCGACCTGGCAGGAATTCTGACTCATGCCTCTGAAGCAAACCACGTCCAAGGAGTCCTGAACGGAGTGGCCCCAGCATCTACCACTACCAATGCCGAGTTTGCCCAGGCCTTGGGTGCTGCCCTGGGCCGCCCAGCCTTCATACCTGTCCCCAGCACTGTGGTACAAGCAATCTTTGGACGAGAGCGTGCCACCATGCTGTTGGAAGGCCAGAAAGTGGTCCCACGGCGGACACTGGCCACTGGCTACCAGTATTCCTTTCCAGAGTTGGGGGCTGCCTTGAAAGATGTTGTAGCCTAAGCAGAGAAGGGCCCCAAGGCAGGAGCTGAGGCCTGTTCCTCATACAGAGGGTTGGACCAGGTAAGCCCTGTGCCTGAGATCAGAAGCATCTCAGAATCTCTCCCCATCACTTTGTCCCTGTGTTGTTTTTCTACCTCTGTCTGAGAAACTCCAGTCAAGGCTGGAATCGCATTCTAACCTTAACCTCTCCAACTTGTTGTGGTTTCTGTGTGTCACACTGTTGCCCCAGTTCTATATGCTATGTACAGAATGTTCTGCAGTTATGGCAATAAATTCTACCACTGGCTTCAGCTGCCTCTTTGGCTTAGATGCTCATGGAATTTACCTTAAGGACTATTACCTAGATGGCTCTCCTTCCTAAATGAGGTTCTGAATGTTGTAATAAGCAATCTTGCTCCTCACCCTTCCCTTTCTTGGTCTCTCTCCCAACATGAGCTGGTAAGACATGAGCTTGTGACAGAGGTTAAAGACAATAAATATGTTTAAGGATCATTTCCAGTGAGTTCTGTCTGGTGCCACTCTAACCACCTACCTGCTGAGAGTATGCCAGCAAAAATGGAGAAAAGGCCCTGGAGGTTAGCCTCAGGGTCTCACCCAGTGTCAGAGAATTTAACAAACACATGCAGGTCCCACCTCATACTGCAGTAACACAAAACCAATGTCTCTCATCTGCTTGGGAACACTTCAGCCTTCCAGGGCCCGCCACATTCTAGCCTTCTGTACACCCACCATCAGGACAAACGAAAAGAGCAAGAAACCAATCACAAACTCAAAAAGCATTTCTACCAGCAACCAGTTCAAACCGTTCTCTTTGCTTCCTGGACACTGAGAAGAGTCACTGCCACTTCCTCATCAACTTGTCTCAATACAGCTGGGTCATTCTGGTGTAGAGATGAAAATGGTCAGTGAAACAGGCAGACAGGCACTGGGACCTATGGACCCTCGCCCTGATCATTGAGTCTATACAGTGTCACCTCTCTGTGTCACTTGGAGTAAGTCAGCCAGAAAGGGATCTAATTCAGGAACTCAATACCAGTCCCGAGAAGAACTGAACCCAGGGGCTCCTGCCTTACCTCTTTATCTGAGAAGTTGGCTAGTTCTCAGTTATTCCTGGGGAAAGTAATAGTAACAGGAGCTTTGTTTGTTAGGCTACACTAGACAAAAGACTCCTGGAAAAACCATACATCCATGTCAGGAATGTGCCACCTTGCAGAGAGTAAATTCCCTGGCCAGGAATCAAGCAGATACAAAACAATGGCTTGTGGGAATTGGGGTGTAAACAGTTGGTCATGATAGCTCAGTGGAGTTCATCTGTGACCAATCAGGTATCTTTCAACTCTTTCCACTTCCTAGATAAGTTTCTTCGCCATACACACAAAGCAGTAGGTTGTCTTGGTGAATGCGACCTACATCTTCCATAAAGGAAAGATTAGATAGATCCCACTAACATTGTCAGTGCAAAGCATGGCTCCATGAATTTGGTGAATACATTCAACACCAGAGGGGATTTAACCAGGGCCTTTCTGAGACATTTGTGAATCTGTAAACAAACAATTGAATTCAACTGACCAGCTGCCACTTCTAGGAACCCTGAGAGTATTTAGGTAATGCAACAATCACCCCTAACAACTATTTGGTTAATGTGTGTTTTGAAGGTTGCTGGGAAAGGGTGCAGCCAATACAGGGCATGTTCTACTGAAAACCCAGTGTTAAAACTGAGGACTGTGGGCGCCTCTGACTGTGAAGTTTGTTTAGGGAGCCTATGCAGACACAGGCAGACACACCTGAGACATGATCCAAGGTCCCTTCCTCACGGGAGCCTCCTCTGTGCTCTCAATTCTCCTCAAAGGTTAGTTTTATGCCTGATGTAGAGACATAAGTAAGGCCAAGTGACTCTCGCAACATCACAGGCAGAGTGCCACCGAGACTGGAAGCCCAGCCCCCTCTGCCCTGTGGGCTTCTGCTGTCCCTCCAACAGCCCACTTGGCACTACGGTCCCTCCAGAACCCAGACAGTTCAGCCTAAATAGCCACTCAGACAAGCAGCCCAGGGTGCTTTCTTCCTCACCTTAGTCTTTTTGCCACCTCCAGCTTACCGTAGCCTCCAACTCAATTTAACCTGGAGGTGAGGCCAATGGTCTCGGTCTTCAGGAAGAGCCTCTACAGCCTACAGAAACCCTCTGCAAAGATGAGGTTGTGGAGTTAAATCTGATCAAAGCCTCCTAAGAGCTGATTGCAGTCCTGACTCTGATGGACCTGTCCTCAAGTACCCCAGGCAAGTGTATTCCCACATTCAGATCTCTCTGGGGCTTCCTCCAGCCAAAGCACCATCTTAGGAGTCCACACACAGTCTGAGCAGCAGAGGACTGTAAAGAAGGGGCTGGGCTGGGGGCGCTGAGTCTGACAGGGCAGCAGCTATGCAGCAGGTAAGGCTCAAAAGTTGAGACTCAGCAGGGCCTCAGAAAGCTGGTTAATATCCCGGCAGTATGGTTCCCGCTGCAGGATGAAGTCCACCTTGTGGTCCTGACCCCAAAACACCTCCAGCAGCTGGCGCCGGAGCCGCTCTGTCTCCCGGGTCTTCCGAATGCCACCACTTTTTTCCTCTTCCTTCCCCTGCTGCTGGTTACCATGATCTGTGGGGCCTCTGGAGGACTGATGAGCCTTAGCAGAGCCCTGTTTCCTGGAGAAAAGCAGAATAAGAACTGGTAAGCACTCCTGAGAAAAACTGGGCCCCAGGGAGCCTCAGCCAAACCCATTTCCAGCTTTAGGAGATGAATTCATGAAGTTCCCAAGCCAGCCACTGAGTGGCAGTATCAACCACTAGGAAGACAAAGCTAATAAAATGTAGCCCTGTTTAATCACTTGCTTAATGAGCCAACAGAGGGTGTAGGGGTACAACTGACTATCATTACATGCAACCATCTCCCAAATAGCTCAGTCAAACACCTGACCAGAAGAGTCAAGAAATAAAAATTTCTGAATCGGGGTGGGGGGGGGGGGGGGAAGACGGATGACTTTAAAGGCCAGTCCTGAAAACTCAAGACTACTGCAGAACTAAGCCGGCCCAAACTGCAACACTCCCATCCAAGCCACCAATCCTCCAGAGCAGCCGATCTCAACAGGCTGCAGGCAGATAAGGGGCATTACCTGACTGTCTTCTTCAGGAACTCATCCAGGGTGGGGCCATTTCGCCCCAGTGGATCATCTGGAACCATGAAGAGGTTTCCCACAAAGGTGAAGGGCAGCAAGCTGGATGAGGAAAGAGGAAGTCACAGAAAAGACCTCACCGACCTAGCCAAGACCAGCCCCACCCGGAGCTCCTGGCTGTCTTCCTGTGGCACCTCTGAGCCCTTCCCCAGGGTTCTCACCCAGTGGCCAGAGAAGAGCTGGTTTTAGAGAAAGGTCTGAGTCGGTGCCCTATTCTCACCGCTCTCTGATGATCGCCATCCACTTGTCGGACTCCTCAGCCAGATCCCGGAACTGGTCATTGGAGACAATGATCCCATCGGTCTCTTCAGCCAGTTTCACCATGAATCTGTCTCAAGAAACACAGACACCATTCTGGGATTCTCCAAAGACCAACCCCACAATATGCTATATGCCTGCGACCCAGTTCTGGTGATGGAGATCGGTTCTGGTGATGGAGATCAGTCTCCCAGCTCATTTAGTGAAGTGAATAAGGATGAGGAGACTTCTTGGGAACTGAGCCCAGACCCTTGTGCATCCTAGGCAAGTGCCTTACCACTGAAATTGTAGATAGGTAGGTAGATAGACAGACCAAGGGAGTGGAGCTAAGAGATAGGCAGGACATGGTGGTGCACACCTTTAATCCCAGCACTCAGGAGGCAGAAACAGGTGAATCTCTTGAGTTCTAAGCCAGCCTGGTCTATACAGTTCCAGGACAGCCAGGGCTACATAGAGAGACCCTGTCTCAAAAACAAACAAAAATAGTGGAGACAGATCTTGCTGTCTTGTCTTGAGTTCACTCTGTAGCCCCAGCAGGCTTTGAACTCTCCATCTTCCTGCCTCAACTTCTCAAGTAGTTGGGATTACAGTCTGTGCCTCCATATTTAGCTCCTCCCCTCACTATCATCCAGCCACAGTTGACTAACTAGACACAGGCACCAAGGTAAGAGAAGAAACAGTGATGAATCCCAGGTAGTTTCCCAACAGCATCCCATTCACCACACCCCTTTACTGAAAACTATGTCTAAGAAACAGTAAGAGCTAGCTTTAACTTTCTCCCACTCCACTGGTCACCCACAGACCTGAATCCTTCCTCTAACCTTTCCACACTACCTTTCTTTCCAGGGCCACAATCACCTTAATAATTCAGACATTAAAACTAAGACTACTGCCAACCTTCCACAATCTCTCCTACCTCACCTCACCATCCTCCAGCCTCACCTGCTCTCCCCCTACTTAGAGCTCTTCACCCCAACCCAGCCCAAGTAAGAGGCCTTGAATAAGTCCCCATGTCTAAGCTGGCAGCTAAGGGCCTCTAGAATCCATCTGCATGTCACTCTTATAGCCTTTCCTCCCTCAGCATACCGTAATGCAGCCTCAACTCCAGCCAAGATCGATGATTAGATTACACTCTTAACTAGTCCTCCTCTCTGACTTCAGTTCCTTCTTATTCCCTCCATCTTAGAGTGTATCCTAAGCCTCTATAGTGACAGCCACCTATGGAACTCGATTTCTGGGAGCTGGCTGGCAGTGTGGCTCAGTTGGTAGAGTGCTGACCTAGCTGCACTAGGCCCAAGGTTCAATCTCCAGCACCATATAGTCTGGGCATAGTAACACACACGAGTAGTCTAGCATTCAGGAGGTGGAGCCAGGAGAATCAGAAGTTCAAGGCCATCCTTAGTTACTCAGTGAGCCAGAGACCAGCCTGGCTACATGAGACCTGATCTCAAAAAATAGAAAAATAAACATTTCAAGGTTGTTTTTTTTTTTTAAGATTTATTTTTAATGCATACAGGTGCCCTGTCTGCATGTGTGCCTACAGACCAGAAGAGAGTATCAGATTGTGGACTGCCATGTGGGTGCTGGGAACTGAACTTGGGACCTCTGCAAGTGTAGCCAGTGCTCTTAATTGCTGAGCCATCTCTCCAACCCCAAAAGTATAAAGTTTTTTAAATACATCTGAGGCCCCACTTTAGTAATTTTCTTGTTTCATTTTATTTTTGAGACATGAGCTCATATAACCCAGGCTTGTCTCCAACTTACTGAATAGTTGAAGCTAACCTCAAACTTCCTGCCTCTGCCTCTACCTCCCAAGTATTGGCATTAAAGGTATTTGTTACCATGGCTAGGTCCCATTATAATTCTCCATCCACAGAGTAAGATTCACAAGGCAGTGGACAGTGAACTAACTTTTGAGAAGTTTAAAATCGAAGAGATCCAGCCCATCCCACATCTTTGTCAATCAAATTCCCTACCCTCCCTTCCTGTAAAATCCCAGTCATAACAATGCTCCATTCCAAGTTCCTGTAGTGCCTGATTCACAGGTGTGTTTACTGTTGTTCACTGTACTGGGCCCTTTTGAAGCCAAGGACCAACTCTTGCCCCAGCCACAGTTCTTTCTCCAAGTCATATATCAAGCCTGAAGTGGGCAGTCAGTATCTGAAAGGCACTATGGTACAGAGAAGACCAGAATCAGGATTAGGTTCAACAGGTGTGTGGGAACAAGCGAAGTGGATGATATGTTATGTCAAGTGCACAGAAAAGGTGCTTTCTAGTTAAGGGCTTTCTGGCTCTCGGATCAGGACACACCCTGCGCTGCAGCTCTCATTCAGGAGGCTCTGCTCTGCTCTTTTATACCATAATGAAGAGAAATTCCAAGTCTGCACCATGCATCCACCAGGTTCTACACAATTACATGCTAAAACTAATCAGTACCAATTCTGTTACGGTGCTGTTACACTCTTAGAATAAATAAAAATCGAGGCCTAAAAACAAAATAACAGCACTTGGAGGCAGAAACAAAAGGGCCACCACAAGCTCAAAGCCAGCCTGGCCCTACAGAAGAAGTACCAGTCCAGCCTGGGCTACAAAGTGAGACCCTGTCCAAAACAGAAACAGTGGCATCAGGAGAGTCCTGACTGGTTTTTTTTTTTTTTTTTTTTTTTTTTTTATCAACTTGGCACAATACACAGTTATCTGGGAAGGGAACCCTCAACTGAGAAAATGTCTCCATTAGATTGCCTGTAGGCAAATGTGTGGGACATTTTCTTAATTGCTCAGCCCACTGCAGGCAGGGCCACCTCTAGGCAGGTGGCCCTGGGTGGTGTTAGAAATCAAGCTGAGCAAGCCAATAAGTAGTCAGCAAGCATCCCTCTGTGGTCTCTGCACCAATTCCTGCCTCCAGGTTCCTGTCCTGACTCCCAGTTAGAGGATGGACTATCTACCTGAAAATGTTAAGATAAAATAAGCTCTCTCCTCCCAAGTTTCTTTGGATCACGGTATTTATCACAGCAACAAGAATCCTAAGACAAGAAGAAAGTGAAGTACCTTTTGTAAAATACTTTTTACTTCTAAAGAGTAAAAGTTAAATATCTGAAAAGATAAACCACTATGCTGGTTAGTTTTTAATCCACTGAGAAGAGTTCACAGTGAGGAACTGTCTAGGTCGGGTGGTCTGTAAGAACCTGGTTAATAGAGTGGGAAGACCCAGCCACTGTGAGTGGCACCACCCCCCAAGCTGGGGTTCTGGATCCCAAGAGGGGAGGAAGCAAGCTGAGCACTGTCATGTATGCACTCAGTGCCCTCCTCCTGACTATGGATGGGTGTGGCCAGCTCCAGTAAGGTCCTGATGCTGTGACTTCCCAGCTATAAAGGTCTGTAACCTCAACTGGGAGCTAAAATAAACCCTCATTAAAGTTACTTTTTAGAACTTTCCTGAACTCTGTGGGCCCCAGGCATGCACATAGTGCACATCCATACATACAGGCAAAACACTACTATACATAAAATAAAGGGGTTTTCACACAAAAATTAGGAAGATTTAAAATAGCTAATCAGCTTTAAATTGTATATATTTCTACAGCATGGATATACAAATGTGGCAGGAGTATACCCTGTTTTCTGCTTAGCCTAGATGGTAACTTTTGTCAAGGGAGTTAACCACCTACCCTTTGTATCTACCTCAGTAAACAGAGATAACATCCCATATATCACTTTTTCTTTTTTTTTTTTTTTTTTTTTTTTTTTTTTTTTTTTTGGTGTGTGTGTGAGTGTGTGTGTGTATGTATTTAGACAGGGTCTCACTTTGTAGTCCAAGCTAGCCTGGAACATACTTTGTAGCTCATGCTGGCCTCAAATTCATTATCCTACCTCAGTCTCAGTCTCTCAAGTGCTCGGACTACCACACCCAGCTTCAAGCAACACTTAATTGGGCCCATGCAATGCTAAGAGGAAATGTCACTACTGTTTCTTAGCACCAGGAATGAGGCAAGCACATACCTTATCTTCTTTTGATATTCACAAGGAGGGTGAATGAATGGAGAAGGATCCTGAGACAAAGAGGTTGATTCACTAAGAGGTGGGGCCAACGCCATGGAGAAAGCAGATCAATAATGAACCCTGCAGCTCTGAATTCTGCCATTCTGTTCCATTCTGAGTCTGGTGATCTCTAGGCAGACCTCACATTCAAAGCTGTTTCTGCATTTTATTTATCTTGAAGGTTTACTCTCCCTTTCCCAGAGTAGTCAAAAAATTTCTCTACACTGGAAATTCTGCCAGCCAGCCATGTCACCAGCTCCCCCAGCTCTCCATTACACTGGTATTTTCTAACCAGTAAAGCACTTTATATAAAGGCAAAGTGAATGATGATGAGCAGGCAAGTACAGTTGTCCATAGTCCATCTTCTATCACCTGCAGAGCTGACTTACCTACCCCATCATATACCCCACGGAAACTAACCCCACTACTGAGGCTGCAAGACAGAGGTCAGGAGCATCTCTCTCCTCCTCAAAGTCCCACCAGGCTCCATAAAGGAAACTTGGGGCCAGAGGAGGGGCAAATACCTGTCATCATAGGAAGAAATTCTCTTGCCATCCATGACTCGTGAAGGTGTCAGGGAAAGCAGACTCAGGGAGTACAGCTTCTGCAGGAAGTGACTCTCTGCAGAACAAGATGCAACAGGGTTCTCCTCAAGGTCAACACAACCCCACCCAGGACACAGAAGGCCAGACCCAACTTACCTCTGACCTTGGAATCCTTACTGAAGCGCCACTGAGGCACAAAGACGGTTATGTCACGGTGTCCACGATCCCAGAAGTACTGCACAGCGAGAGCGATGCCTCGGCTTGAGAAGTAGTGCTGGAGGCCATGCCTGCAACGGAAAAGGGCAACACTCAGGACCCACAGGACGCTGCACTACCAGCCCCTCAGCAGATGTCTCCAAGACAGACAAAGATGCTTGTCTCATCCTCCCTCCTCAGAACTCCGCCCCACCAGCTACTTACACCATGGCCACGTTGCTGCCATCAATGACAATATGACGGAGATCTGGCTGGCCAGGCACATTGGCAAGGCACAGGGTGAAAGGATCCTGTAAGGCTTCCTGGAAACGCTGTGTGCCAGTCACCAAGTTGCCCCCTCGAGTGCCTCGTTTCCATGGAGACCCTCGACCTCGAGCCCCAGCCTGTTGCTTGTCTCCCCTGTCTCCCCGATCTTGGTCTCCACAGGGCCATGGGGGTTCAGGTGCAGATGGAGGACTAGGTACTCTTGGAGGTGAGGTAATCCCATTCTGGAGCCGCTGGAGGAGAGAGGCTCCCCGAGTTTGAGCTGCTCGCTGAGTGGGCACAGAGGCACCAGAAGGTTCACCCTGCACACTGAACCCTCCTCTCTGCTGAGGAGCTTCCTCCTTCCCTAAGGTCTTTCCCTTCAAGGGCACTACTTCCTCTGCTCCTCCAGCTGCTGGTTGTGACTTGAAAGCCACTCCTCTCTCCCAGACCTCTTCCCCAGATGACTCCTTCTGCCCTGAATACATGTCCTTGACAGCATCCTGTTTCCTTCCCTCCTTCTCCACAGTATGACTTTCTCTTGCTGCCCTTGACTCTCCCCACCCCACCACTCCAGTGCCCAGGGATTCCCCACCTTCACTCAAGGGAGCCCTAACTCCCTGGAACTGAGCACTCAACAGGCCTGGGCTTCCCCGCTCACAAGAGGGCAGTGCCTGCAAACCCTTCTCTCTGGATGCCTCCTGTACCAGGCTTAGGAGCTCCTCCTGGACAGCCAGGGGCAGCTGCAGCAGAGCCTCTGTGTAAGCATCCTCCCTAGTCTGCAGCAGGGCAGAGAAGGCTCTCAGCACTCCAGCACCGGCAGAGGCTCCAGAATAAGACGGCAGCTGAAGATCCCAGCTCAGCCGCTGCACTAACTCCTCCACCCGGCTCTGAGCCATCACAAATGCCTCAGTTAGGCCACTGATCATCAGAGAGCCAGGGACCAGGGGCACCAGGTGGGCAGACGTGCTCCAGGCCAGGCAGTCAAGGAAGAAGCCTTGGGCTCCCTGAAAGACGCAGTGCAGTCTGGGTGGGTAACGGATTTCACTCTGCAGTTCTGGGCTGCAGAGCCCCTTCAGGTATTCCTAGATGGGAAGGTCAGAGAGGAAACTTCTAGAAGCCATCCCCTTCGGGTGCATTGTTCTCCCTAAGCTCCAAGTGCTTGCATCATCCATTGTAGACATAAGGAAATTTAAGAATAGATCAGAAGGCTGTCAGGTGTTGAAGCTGCATTAGAACTCCTCCTCGAGGCCAAAGAAAGAAATGTGGCCAGCCCCCCCCACACACACACCCACTCCCAGTGAATTCCTTGGCAAGGACCACCTGTGCAGTGGGATTACTCTACTATACCCAAAGGCACAAAGTAATTTGTTTCCAAACGCCCCGCAGTACCTGTGCCATCAGGGCAGAAGTGAAACCAAAATTCTAAATAAGAATTGCTGAGTTCCTCAAAGCTCAGAACAGAAGTAGGCAGGAAGATAGCAAAGATGCAGAGATCCTCCCAACCCCTCCTCTGAATCCACCTAGGGGAGGGGCAGGATCCCGAAAGGATCTGGGAGAGGAGTTCACCTTGGCTCTGCAGACATTCTCCTTGGGGCCCTCAAGCTGCAGCCAGATATGAGGATTCTCTGGGCAGTCTTTGGAGAGGACGCTCATCCCCACGCTGAAGATGCGTTCCAAGCGAGTCTGCTGCTCCCGAATTTTGTCCTCTGCGACCGCAGACACCGCAAAGCGGTCAGGAATTGGGGAAGCCAACTCCCAAGTAGACATGGCTTCTTCCCGGGGTCCTGGAAGGGCAGAGGCAAAAACTCAGAGTCTCTGTCTCCCTTCAGCCCAAAACCTAATCACACGGCCTACACCCAACAATCAACAGGTCGCACCTAGTTACAGCACTGGTAAACAACCCCAGGAGGTAGGTAGTAAGTCCACCTCACGGGTGGAGAGGACAGAAAATTATCGGTACACAGGCCTCTCCCGGAGAGGAAATCCTTCGTAAACAAGGCTATCTGGGATGGGCGACCAGTGTGAGAACACAGATGACCACCACCCTGAGAGGGGAAAGGTGAAGGGGCCTCCAGCTCATTCCAAGGGTCGTAAGGAGTAGGTGGGTGAGGAAAGGGTCCCAAAGCTCAGAGGTCTCTGCAATTTTTGAGTAGAAGAGGGCCTCTTTAGAGATGAATACTCGCCAGAGGCTCTAACTGTAGTCCTGGGAGGGGGTGCCATGTTCTTTCTCTAGCCACTCCCACCTCCCCGCCCCCTCCTCGGAGATGTCCACCGCCAAGAATCCTGCCCGGGCTCGGGGCCGGCGAGCCCTCCCAAACTCCGTGGTGGCCGCCCCCAGCCCGATCACCCTCCGCCCGCGGCCTCCAGCTCCCAAGCGCCGAGAAGAGGCGCGCCTACCGCCAAAGTCGCGAGTCCCGCCTGCTCCTCCAGGGGCCCAGGGCCCCCGCGCTTCTCCCATGGCGCAGAGGTCTGGGGCTGGGGACTCGAGTCTGGAAGGGCCTCCTCGGCTTCCCCACCCAACCTAGACTCCTTTCGTCAACATCGCGTTGTGGTTTCGAAGTCACTTCCCGGCCTGGGGCGGAGTCAGGCCGGCTCCGCCCCCGCCAGGGCTGAGCTGGCTTGGGCTCAAGGCTGGGCTGCGGGCCTCTTCTCGCTCGCGCCCTCCCTCTAGGGCTCTGTCTGCTGCCTTGCAGCCTTTCAACCCGTCCTCCACGTCCCCTGCCGGGGCTAGCGGGTTGCCAACACTGCCCCCACCCGTCCCAACGCCTCCCGCCAACTCTCAGGTTCGCCTCCCGTTCGTGGGATCCTTGCGTTTTCTGCACAGTTGAAGGTTCCAAGGGGGAAAGTCCAGAGTCACAAAAGAATACTGCCCTTGGCACAAGCACTTTCAAACAGTAGATTGTGGGGGAAATGAAGACATACCTTCCAACAAAAAGAGTCTATAGAGAAAAACAGTTTGTGAAAAGGAGAGGATGGGGAAGGAGTTGAAGAAACTTCATCTAGTGTGTATATGTGTGTCTGTGTATGCGAGCGCACCACGCACACACACACACACACACAGAGAGAGAGAGAGAGAGAGAGAGAGAGAGAGAGAGAGAGAGAGAGAGAGAGAGAGAGAGAGGGTTGGTTCTCCATCACCCACTGTCCAGCCTCCTTGCTACAGAATCTGGCTGGAGCTTGGTGTCCTGTCTCTATCCCTCTTCTCCCTCCCAGAGCCCAACTGCTGTCACTCCATGCCTTGCCAAGGAGGAGGGAACTGCAGTGACAGCAGGAGTAAGGAGAGGCCAGGCAGAGCTGTGGAAGGAAGTGCCCAAACTAGGTGACAGACCCCTAGGGCCTAGGGCGGAGAGAGGAGCAAGGCAAGAGGTGCTGAAAGCCGCAGCAGAGGAGAGAGAGCAGAAGGGAGCAGAAGGCAGGAAACCCTGTGTATCACAGAGGCACCAGGGAATGATGGGAACAAAACGGCACAACCCCAGGCTACCCTTGGCCCTGGTGCTTCTGACCCTAGGGGCTGGGTGGGCTCAAGAAGGGTCAGAGCCTGTCCTACTAGAGGGGGAGTGCCTGGTAGTCTGTGAGCCAGGCCGACCTGCTGCAGGGGGGCCTGGGGGAGCAGCCCTGGGAGAGGCGCCCCCAGGACGAGTGGCATTTGCTGCAGTCCGAAGCCATCACCATGAGCCAGCAGGGGAAACCGGCAATGGTACCATTGGTGCCATCTACTTCGACCAGGTAATGCCCCTGCCCCTGCCCCTGCCCCTGTATAGAGGACCTGCAAGGACCTGGATGCTACTGTCCAAGCCCACTTTGCATCCTTCAGGCTTCAGGAAAACCATGTCCTGCATCTCTTGCCGAATCTTCACCTAAGATGGCCACCAACTATTTGCCTTCTCTCACTCACATACACGCCTATCTTAGCCATTTCTCATAATTTTTGAATCCATAAATTCCTGTCACATATGTTTGCCACCCCCTTTTTCTTTACCCATTGGCCAAATGCCAACCCCAGGGTCCCTGAGCCCCAGGCACCCTGAACTCCACTCAATAGGACCTGTTTTCTACAGGTGCTGGTGAATGAGGGTGGTGGCTTTGATCGGACCTCAGGTTGCTTTGTGGCCCCTGTCCGTGGAGTCTACAGCTTCCGATTCCATGTCGTAAAAGTGTACAACCGTCAAACTGTCCAGGTAACCAGAGTGCCAGCCCCATCTCCAGGGGAGAGGGGGCATAAGTAGAAGGCAGCACATCCCTGGGTAGCTCTTCTATTGACCTATATCCTGGGGCCATGAGCAGGGGAGGAAAGGTCCTGGATAGCAGAGTATGAAGTATGTAGAGCCCAACACTGGCCACCCTGCAGCCCTCACAGGAGAGCCCATTAAGCCTCAGGTTCCCAAAAGGAAGCCCTTGGGAAGATGAGGGTCCTGAGCTATGGGCTAGGAAATAGATGCTAACCTAGCTCCCCTCCCCAGGTGAGCCTGATGCTAAATACATGGCCAGTCATCTCAGCCTTTGCCAATGACCCTGATGTGACCAGAGAGGCAGCCACAAGCTCTGTGCTGCTTCCCCTGGACCCTGGGGACCGTGTATCCCTGCGCCTTCGTCGAGGGAATCTTCTGGGAGGCTGGAAGTATTCAAGCTTCTCTGGCTTCTTGATCTTCCCACTCTGAGAACTCAAGCCTTTAAAAGACAGATATCTAGCATCTGGCCATTCGCCCTACCCTGCTCTACCTTGCCCCAGAAACAAATGTCTTTAAAACAAGAGAAAGCCCCCTTCAGGATGCCTATAGCCCACCTCCTTGCATGAGATCCTGCGTCAAACACCCAAGACTAAGAGAGACGGGCAGGAGCTATGGAATCTCTAGACAGAACACTCCTTACCACTACTATTCTAGTTGATCTCCCAGCCTTTGCTGCCCCTCTCCTGCCTGCAGCTCTGGCTTAAAGCGGGATTTGGCAAGAGGGGAGCTTGCACCATTTCACAGCCTCCACTCCCCCTGTTCTCCACCCCAGCTTCCTGCTCAGTGCTATTTGGTGACAGGTGGCACAGGTAAGCCTGACAGGCTCCCACAGGGGCCCAGATGGACCAGCTTCATAGTACCTACAGACTCCATCCTGTTCGGAGTGCCAGCATGAGAGATCTCAGCCAGCACTGTATGAACATGGGCTGCAGCCCAACCACACAAAGAAGTGTAGAGAGGGCCACAGAGCACCCATAGCTGGAGAGATAGGATGGGGCATATGCCTATTCTGAACATGATAAACATTCTGCAGATAAACTGGGCCAGTCAACAGACAGGGTTCCTGCCATCCATCTGTGCCAGGTCCCAATGGACTCTGGCCCTCATCTGCTGACCTTATCTCCTGAGGCGAGCGTATGTGCATGCACACGTGCGTGCATGAGTGTGTGAGTGCATGTATGTGTGTTTGCTCTGACCAGAGCGGGTACGCAGAGCTGGAGACATGGTCAAAGGTCACAAATGAGAACACACCAGTGGCCATGTGTCCTCCTCCTTAGCCACTTCCTAGAACTGCCCCCACCTTTGAAATCTGAGTTTCAGTCGCTCCCCACTCTGACACCTGTCTTCCTCCAGCTGTCTCTCAGCTAACTTCCCTGTGCCTACAGCCTGTCCCTACCATCACTCTCCCCTTGATCCATACTGTCTTATTCTTCTTAAGTCTCCTGTTACCAGGAGTCCATGATTCGTCCCTCCAACTGCTCTTCCTCCAGCCTCAGAAACTCTTTCATCCCATTGTCCCAATGGTCCAGCATGAATGGATCTATCTGGAGAACTGTAGCTGGTGAGATACTGAACTTCTCACTTTAGGGAGGATGCAGTTTGGAACAGAGATTACAAGATTGGAGCAATGTGGCATATTGAAAAGAAAAATAAATTCAAATCGAGCATAACAGTCAAATTTTTAAAAGGCTATAATAGTACTCAAATAAATACCGAGAGAGAGAGAGAGAGAGAGAGAGAGAGAGAGAGAGAGAGAGAGAGAGCTAGAGGTATAGCTCAGAGGCAAAAGCTAATGTGCATGAAGCACCAGGTTTGAACTCCAGCACTGGAGTACAGGGTGGGGAGTGGGGGGAAGACAGAAAAGCATTTTCTTTCTGCATTTGTCCATACTTTGTGACCAGAAAGAATAGTTTAAACAAAATAAGAGTCTGCAGCTAGGAGTCCAGGATGGACAGCTGCTCATGGTCACAAGAGCCCAGGCTCCCTTTTTGCAGTTCTGTCACCCTTGCCATGACATCTCGTGGCCCAAGATCGCTTCTTGAACTTCAACAATTACATCAGCCCAGCAGCGCTGGATTGAAGGGGAGAAGAAAGGACCCAGCTCCTTCCTTGAAAGACAGTTTTCTGACAGCTGCATACACTTCTTCTTGCCAGAATGTAGTCGCCACACCAAGCCAGCACAGCAGCACAGGCTAGGAAACAACCTTACCTTTCTGTAGTATTCAGTGTGTGTGTGTGTGTGTGTGTGTGTGTGTGTGTGTGTGTGTGCGCGCGCGCGCGCGCGTGCGTGTGAGAAAGAGAAAGAGAGAGAGAGAGAGAGAGAGAGTCAGGACAGTCTTGGGTGTTGGTCCTCGCCTCCCACCATGTTTGAGACAGTGGCTCTAATAATGTTCACTGTGTACACAGGCTAGGTGGCTGGAAGCTTTTGGGAAGTCTATCTTCCTCTGGGAGCACGAGGATTACAGATGCATGGGTTATGGCTGGCTTGTATGTGGACTCCAAGGGTCTAAACTCAAGGTGTCAGGCCAGCACAGCAAGTATTCTAACCATGGGACCAATGGGACCATCTCCATAGCCCGTAGGCTTTATTCTAGACAACTATGTCCAGCTGCGAGTCAGGAGTCTTACATTAATCATCTTCGAAGATAAATCGTAAATCAATTCCTACCCAACCAAGAATCCACTAATTGTCCATCCGGAACTCCTTGGCATGGAGAGAATGCCCCTCTTTTCTTTTGGCTTAGAGATAGATGACTTATCTTTGGGCCACATGGCTGTGTGTCCTTTTTTTTTTTTTTTTTTTTTAAGACCAAATTCAAAACTTGGTCTGGGTGAGATAATATCCATTTCATAATCTATAAACTAATTTTATGATGGTAGGAGTGGAGGTATAAAACTGGACAATCCATGGGGCTGGAGAGATGACTCAGTGGTTAAGACTGCTCTTCCAGAAGACCTGGATTCAATTCCCAGCACCCACATGGCAGCTCACAACTGTCTGTAACTCCAAGATCTGATACTCTCACACAGACATACATGCAAGCAAAACATAGATGCACATAAGAATAAATAATTTAAAAAACCTGTACAGTCTAGCCTAGCGTGATGTACACACCTATAAACTCAACAATTAAGAAGCAAAAACAGGAAGACCTGGAGTTGAAGGCCAGCCTGGGCTATCTAGACTGTCTCACACACACACACACACCTTGTAAATGCTTGTAGTGATGTGTTTGCTTTATCAAATGTTCAAATCTCTTAAAAGAACTGACCTATTAGATTTGTGATTCCACTAAAATATT